TCCAGGTGTCCCAGTGTGTCCCATCTCCAGGTGTCCCAGTGTGTCCCCTTTCCAGGTGTCCCAGTGTGTCCCCCTTCCAGGTGTCCCAGTGTGTCCCCTCTCCGAGGGCAGGGCTGGACAGCAGGTTCACCCCAGGATGCTCTGGAGTGCACAGTTCAGGTGGGATCTTTGCAGGGCTCAATGAAGCCACTGAAATGCTGTAAAACAACTGTTCTTAAGTGGCTTCTGGGGCCGTGGAAATATGGGTTTCATTTGTTCTGTGTGGTGTTCCAGGTCACCGGGCCTTTGTTCCGCTCCCGTGAGCCCCCGCCAGAGCCACTGCCTTTGCTCAGCCTGCTTTGATTGTCCCCAGCTTTAGTTAAGAAGCTGCTCTCTGCAGATCATTTAATGAGCTTCCATCTCTCTCTTTAAGTGTCAGTGAGGATGTTTCCTTGGCTGAACAGGAACCGTATTTAACTGTTGTGCTTCTTTATTTCTCAGCAGTGAAGTTTCCCTCCTCGGGTTCAGGGTGAGGTGACAGTTTCTAGCATTTCCCTTGGAAACATTTTAAAGAAAGCAGAGAAATGCTTTCGCTGGATCTCGTGCAGAGTGCCTCTCTCAGGAGACGTGTCCATCTTACTCGAGATCCCATTCAGCTCCTTTGGGGGTGTTCAATACCAGTGATTCACTACAGCCGTTGTCACTCCCGTGGCAGCTGATCTCAGACTCTCAAACAGCACTGTCAGGAGTGGAAAGCCAAGCTATTGCTTGAGGACTGGGGAAGAAACGAGGCTGAATGCACTGGGAAGGTGTGAAGGGACGTTTTATTTTCTTTCTGCCTTTTGGAAAGGAGGAAAGATGGAAGGAAAGGGCAAAAATGGGAAACACTGTAGCAAGGGGACTCCTGGCTCCTTGGCCAAGGCAGGACTGGACCACCCCTGGTCTTCACCTGGGGATGGGTTTGTGTGGGAATTGAGCAGAGGCCAGGGGCCACTTTGGGTCTGTTTCCTATGCTTTTTTTTTTTTTTTAATTGCTTTAAAGGAAAAAGCCTTCTTTGGAGACATAAGGGCAAATCCCAACAATTAACCTCGTCTGGATAAGAAGGCTTTTTGGGACTTCTAATTTAGGAACGTGGGTGCCACCACCTACTGAAGATGGACAGTGGTGTCATTGGCACAATGGGAAGAGTGAGGGAAAGAGGTTTTTAATTTTTAATACCAGATGTGTCATCAGAACTCATGGCCAAGGTTTGTGTCTTCTGTACTTCTTATTGTTTGAGTTTTACAGTGCCCTGTTTCAGGAGTCACTGTATTCCTCCTGGCTCCCATGGCAGTCCCTTGCAGCATGCGGGGAATGACCCCATCTCTCTTGGCTTGCAGGAACAGCTTCTGCTCCTCTGCAAACCCTCTTGCTAAAGGCATCTGACAGAATGATTAGAAAAATATAAATATTTCATTATGAGGCACTAAATCTGCTTCTTTCCCAGAGAATGCCCTGTCCTTGACTCCCTTGTGGCACTCGCTGGCTGCTGTGTCAGTGGGCAGGGGACTGTGAAGCCCCTGCTCAGCACCATGACTGGGACTGAGTGTTAACACTGAGCACTGTATTGTGCCATTACTTCACCAGAACACAAAACTAAGTGGTAATTATTAGTAGTGCCTGTCTATTTTGGCTATTTTATTTTCCCTGTCCCTCAAACATTAATCATTCCTAACAGGACGAGGTTGGTTGAACAGATAGGAAATAAGTGGCAGAGGCCTGTGTTCAGCAAATGCCTTTTCATTGTTTTCCCTCCTTTTCACACCCTCCCTATGCAAACACACCTTTTTAAGGTTAGTTCGTGTGTTTAGTAGGCTCTTGTGCCTACATGTCACAATCAGTTACCAGGGACATGTCCCCACACTGTTCCCATGCATGGAGTAATTCAGCAGTAGAGCAGTTCCTGCAGGGATCTCCAGGGAGGAGGCAGTCCATCCCATCAGAGCTGTCACCGGGCAGGGAAGGGCAGTGACCAACCCCAGTGATTTGTTGTGGGATGGAAACTCCGTTTGGATCCATACTGATGATATCTCAGGCTGTGACATTCAGCTGGTCAGGTCACAATTACATTTGGAGATTATGCAACAGCCAGTGATTTAATTCCCCTAATGCTGTTCCATTTCCTCTTCAGGAAAACAAACAGGTAAGGAGCCATTCAGATACCAAGTCACCATCCCGGAGAGCTTCAAGGAATTATAAATGTTTGGTCTAGAAAAATTCTGGAAGCAGCCACTGGAATTCAACCTCCCCCCAGCTATGAGCCAGCAGCAAACCTGGGCTTTGTCAGAGTCTGTGTGGAGCATCACAGTCCCTCCCAGGTAGGCTCAGGGGCACCATCCATTCCTCCATGCCAAGGGATTTGCATTAATATCATGTGCATTTTTCTCCTCCCATTATTTTGAAAGGTTCTCCAGCACTTGGGTCAGTGGTTGTGGTCGTTATTAGGCTGGGGCCTAAATTCCTTGTTTCTGTAAATCCTCTCTTCTGCTTCACTTAATTGCTACCCTGTGTTGGGTTGTTATTTGTTCATCTGTTTGCTTTGTTTTTTCTGGGCTACTAAAGCCCTTAGCACAATTCACCTTTTTAGGAAAGTAGGGAACAAAATGCTGAAGCAGGTTCTGGAAGTGCTGCTGCAATAATTTGCTGGTCAGCAAGTTCCAGACCATTTGTGCCTTGAAATGTAGGTGCTCGGGTCATTCTGTCCTGTCGCCTGGGCGTGGAAGGAATCCTCCTTTGTTCCTGGAGCAGGACTCGCTTGGTTGATACCCTCAGGAATTATCCCATTCAGTACCATGTAAATGCAGCCCAATCCCACAAGTGGAGCCTCAAAGACTCCGAGTCTCTTCTGCAGCCAATTTCAGACCCCGGAGAATGAGAAAATCACCATGTAGGGAAAAGATTACTTGGCAATTATTTCCAATTATTTCTATTTCTGCCTGCCTAGAAAATCAGGAAACAGGATTTACTTGGGAACAATTGCTGTAATAAAGTCAGTTGAAGTTTCACCTTGCTGGAAGATTGTTTGAGCTGGGAAGTGCAGAAGTGGTAATCCAAACCACTTGACCTTGGTGTAACATTATCTGTTCCTAGAGCCTTAAACCACGACAATTGCAAACCCCTCGAGCTCATCAGCGCTGGGGTCCCATGTCCTCTTCCCAGAAGAGCCATCACATGTGCTCTTTCAGCTTCACATGGAGAATTAGCCTTGAATTGCAGGTGTGTGACCAGGAAGGATTGGGCTGGCAGCAAAAGAGGCTCAGGATCATCCTGGACAGGGGGCTGCCCTTCCTGGGTGCTTCCAGGTTTAACACAGGATGTGCTGCTCTCCCTCACCATTTCCCATGGTCGATGGAGGTGCTGTGCATTCCTGTGACCTTGCAGAGGCTCTGCCAGCCTGGCAGGATCACAGAACCACAGAATGGGACAGGTTGGAAGGGCCCACAGTATGTCACCTGGTGCAACCTCCCTGCTCGAGCAGGGTCATCCCGAAGCACGTGGCACAGGACTGTGTCCAGGTGGAATAGTCTGTCAGCAAGGAGCCACCCCTGGAGGGCTCACCCTGGCACCCTCTCTGCTCTCATCATGGGGGCTGTGACCCAGAAAAGAGATGACACAGAAATGTTCCTGCATTCTCCTGACCTGTGACCCTCCCTGGAGCTGTGGGTGGCCAAGACACCTTGACTCCCATCCTGCCTGAGCACAGAGGGGGTTCCTGTGCACCAACCCACAGAGGCACATCCAAGGTGTGGCTCCAATCCCTCCCACCCCATTTGCCCACATCCAGCCCTGTACCACAGCAGATAGTACAGGGTGTGGGGTGTTCTCACCAGCTGTAGGCCCTGTAGGGGTTCCATATCCCCAGACACACCTGCAGAACCCTCGGGACTGGATTCCCAACAGAGCAGGTTATCCTACCACAAATGTATCCATCCCAGTTACCTTTCCCTCCGCTTCCTTTGGGATTCAAGCAGACAGGAGACACTTGAGAGAGTCCTTGACCTTCATGGGTCCCTTATGAATCATTAACCTGGAAGATGGATCCTGCAGCCTGGCAGGGCAGCTCTTGGGTTTCATTTCTGTGTCTCCACCTCAGCTGCTGTTCCACCCTTTCCTCAGCACTGTGACATCCCTGCACGTGGAGGCAGTGCAGCAAAGGGCAGTATTCCCATCATCTGCTCAGCTTTACAGTCCCTGCCCTTTACCCTCGCACATGGACACAGTGTGAGGATAATGGAGACACACAATTCTGCCTTCTTGCTCCAGAACCTGCAGGTGAGTTTGTCACAGTGGCTGTTCTTTAAAGAAATAATGTTATACTAATGTGTAACTCTGGCAATCACTGGCAACACCTTCTGGTAGGGCAGTGTCACGTTTCATCTCTGTTTTTCACTTTTTTTCTCAGTGTTACAGTCTTCCCTTGTCTCAGGGCTCTCACAGACCCCCCCCGAGGCTGCCCAAGGGCACAGCTACATCATATTGAAGCTTTCCTGTTTGTGGGAAATATTTCTGGGGTACTTCAGTGCAAGTCAGTCCCTCAGTCCCAAAGGATTCCCTCCCTGTGGGAAGTTCTGGAGAAGTCCAGCTGCAGAGCAGTGTTTTGGTGGTTTCCTTGTTGCAGGTCTGCTAAAGCTCCCGGACCATCAGGTGGAGTTGTGGTTACAAACGAGGACCCCCAGTTTGGAAGGTCTGGTGGGTATTGGTGCTCCAACACTGTCCCTCAGGCCCCCACTGGCCAGGCCACCCCCCCTGCTTTGTGCCAGTGCCCTGGGCACAGGCTGGCACGTGGCACGTGAGGGGGTGGGTCACACTGGGCTCTCCTGGCCACTGTGCTTTGGGATGGTTTGGATTGGGAGGGACATTAAAGCTCATCTCATTCCACCCCCCACCACAGGCAGGGACACCTTCCATTATCCCAGGTTGTTCCAAGCCCCGTCCAACCCGGCCTTGGACACTTCCAGGGATCCAGGGGCAGCCACCACAGCTGTGCCCTCACGAAATATTCCCGTAAGGAGCAGTGTGAGCACCCGAGTCTGTGAGATTGCTGCACGTGTGAGAGGAGAGCTGAGCATAAATAAAAGAAAGCTGTTTAACATTTCCCTTCATGAGACTGAACAGTGAGTGGTGCCTGGACATGAAATCATTTGGGGCTGCACAGAAGAGGGATAGAAGAAGAAGCCGAGAAAAATGAGATAAGAAACACAGAGACAAGGATAGCAATGTGGATCATTCCAGCAGCAAGATTAATAATGAATTTCCTGCTCCTGATGTGAAAATGGAATAGGGCTGCCACTGACAGTAATACATCTTGAAAAGAAAAAAAGGTTTGCCATTCATTCCCTCCTTGATATTTTCACATACCAAAGTGTATTACCCATGGTCAGGAACTGGCTCTGCTCGGGGATGCATGTGGCCAAAATCTGGGACAGACAGGGTGAGGTGCTGATTGTCTGCAGATGTATTTCCCTGGAACACAGCATCACTTTCCTCTGGGCTAGAACCTGAGGGAGGCTTCCTGTGGGTTCTGGGGAAGAAGGGCACTCCCAGATCCCCTGAGGGTGCTGGTTGTGCAGAAGGAGCTCTGAGAGCCCAGCACTGGGAGCTGCTGGAGCGGGGGCAGCAGTGCCACTGCCCCTGAGCCAGGGCTGTGTGCTGGGGTCCCCACTCCTCCCTGTGGGCAGGGAGCAAACATCAGGCCACAGGATGGCCATGGGCACTGTGCCCTGTGCAGGCAGACGTGGCAGGTCTGTGTCTCACCAGCTGTCCGGGCAGATCCACGTGGCTGCCCTTCCCAGGGAATGTCACCTTGCAGGATCAAAGCAACAAAATGGGAAAAGTGGGAATGTGAAAACACAGGCTGTGCAAACCAGCAAAGCCTGGCGCAGGTGGGTCACAGGGTTTGGTTTGTATCACACTGAGTTTGTGGCTCATAAACTGTCGGGTCCGATGGATGTCCCAGCAAAGTTACATCCCGTGGTTCTGTGTCCTGCTTCCCATCTGCTGCCACTCTGCAGTATCTGGAGATTTGGGAAAGCCAGTCTGTGCCACGGTGTCCCCTGGGATCACTAAATACCACCTGCCAAGCAAAGGGAGGTCACCCCCAGGCCACGAGCTGCTCTGTGCCCAGCACAGTCCAGCTGGGGGGTCTGGAGGACTCCCCATATCCCAAGGTATGAGGGGAGCAGTGCTGAGATCTCCACTTTGGGAGAGCAGTTGGATTTCCAGATGCTTTGGCTGCTGTGGTTTGTCTGTTTACATGGCTTTTTTTCCCTTAAAGTCTCTCCCTCCAGAGGCTGGAACAGTCCCAGGCACGAGCAGGTTATGGCTGGGTCCCCGGGAGCACCAGGGACACGAGGAGCAGGGACCGAGCTGGGAGTGTCCACAGGGTTCATCCAATCCAAACCCAGCCCTGAGGGCCACAGGACGTGCCCAGTCTGTCCCAGAAGCCTTGTCACCCAGGGCAGGCAGCAAAGCCACAGCATGAGGCAAGGTGAGCTTTCCTGGGAACAACAGCAAGTGGAATTTGCTCTCTGTGATGGGGAGAGGAAGAGCAGCATTTCCCAGGAGCTTTTTCAAGTCAGCCAGCACAAAACGCGTGTGAATCCTTAAAATATACAGTGCAGCCTCAGAAAAAATGGGGAAACCTGCTCCCAAAGGAGCAAAGACTCCATCCTCCAGGCAGGAAAGCGCCTGCCCAGTTTGCCTGATCCCGGCACTGTGGGACACCGGGAGAAGCTTTTAAATAGTGAACGACAAAGCCCGGATCACCCCCTGGAATGTCACTGAGGATCTGTCAGGGGGACTCCCATGAATTGTGTGCTTGTGTGCTGCTCATGCACAGAGGAACAGGGCTCTCCTGCACCGTGCCCTGGAGGATAACCCTTCCCTGAAATCCACCACCTGGTGCATATTTCCACACAGCAGGAACCAGATCACCCATCAGCTACCTCCTGGTGGACAGCATGGCCACACCTCCATCCTGGGCTGGTGAGGAACACCCAGAGCTGGGAATGTTCAGGTTTATTATTTGGAATATGCCCAGGAGTTTGTACAATGTAACGATTTGAAAATAACATTAATTTCCAAATGCACTACCTCCTTGGAACACAGAGAAAATGAGAAACAAGAAAAAGAAGAAGATCTAACAAATGCAATTAATCTGGAATTATTTGGCAGGGAAGAGTCGCCATTGATGTATTTAACAAAGAACTAATTAAACCAAAATGCAGACTGAAATAAAAGGCGTTATGTAATGCAAATAGTGCTGATTAAAAACTGTAGCCTCGAGAGCTCCGGGCTTGTGTAGATAAATCACGGACACGTGTTCCTCGTGTAGAGATCAGGCTTTAACAGAATTCCAGGCTCAGACGTGATCACATTTTTCAGTGGGAAAATGTCCTTTTGAAGGTCTCCCGTGCCCAGTGTTTCAGTGCTGTGCCCCTGGGAGGTTCCTGGGCACAGACTGGATCCATGCCTGCACTGCCAGGGGGAGGGAGGGGGTCACGGACCCCCTGGGGCTCTGCAGCACCTTTGGGGTTCCTGCACGAGCCACCCCAGGGCTGAACAGGTGATTCTGGGGGTGAAGGTGTTTCTGCAAAGGGGAAAGGCCTGAGGGGAAGCAGGAGAGCAGTAACCTGAGCAAAGCAGCCCTTGTGGATCTGGAAGAAGCAGAGCTTCACTCAGGGCACCACAGTGGGGCTTTTCAGCGCCCCATCTGATTCCAGTTACACACTGGTCCGAGCCTGGGTTCATCCTGCAGCACCAGCTTCATCCCAGGCTGCCAGGGTCAGAGTGTGCTGCATCAGTCCCATCTCACCCACTGCCAGCTCTCAGGAGGATGGAAGGGCACCAAGGAGAGGGTGAAGTCTGGCTGAGGCAGTTCTTCCATCCTGGAGCTTCCTGGCTGTCCCAGGTGCTCTGAGGGTCACTGCTGGCTGCTTGGGGGCTGTTGGTCCATCCTTCCCCTTCCTCTCCTGTTCTTCCCTGCTTTTACTTCTGCTGTTTTATGTTTTTCTCCTCTCCCCTACAGAACCCTGTGGTTAAGCACAACATCCCTGTGTGTCCTCACCCCCAGGTCCTGCTTTCCTTGTGGCAGCACTGGGCCAGGACACACCTCTGAGGAGCCTCACTGCCCTCAGTGCAAGCCACACCCAGCTGGTTCTCTGGGAAATGTCTTCATAAACCCTGAGGAAAAATCCCCAAATGCCACCCTCAGCTACCTGCTGTGTTCACTGTGGAGTTTGGGGTCAGCCACTCCCTGCTGCACACACGCTGCCAGTGGGGATGGGTGAGGCTCACCCCCTGCTCCCTGAACTGCTCAGGGCAGTTCATCTCAACAGTCCCAGCAGCGAGTTCTCCTCTTCTTGAGAGGACATTGAGGAAATGTTGAATTTCAAAGACAAAACGTTTAATGCAAACCTGCTGTGGGCGGCGCAGAACAACAGGGATGGGCTGAGCTCAATCCCCTGCTCGGCTCAGTGGTGTTCGTAATTTCAGCTCAGTGGATCTCTGGATTTGCTGTTTCGACTCACTGCACTCAGGCCAGGGAATCAATATGAATTATCAGCAATTTTCCAGGGGCGGATAAATGGCACTGCGACTGGAACTGCCGCTAATCCCTGCCTTGTCCTTGCTCCCTGGGGCAGCGGCGTTTGTTTTAATCCTCCGAGGTCTCAGTGAGGTGCTGCTCCGGGTGAGTCCTCTGGGGGCTCCTGAGGAGGTGAAGCAAACGGTGGCAGCGTCAGTAAATGGCTGTGAAGAGACCTGTCAAATGCAGCGTCACCCCGGGCACAGGCAGCCTGGGGCAGAGATGTTCCCACCTGCAAATGGTTGGATTGTTCCACACAGAACTCTCGTGTCCCCAGGGCAGCCCCTGTTCCCATCTCCTGCAGGAGGCACCTGCCTGGGGACAGTGGGACCCACGACTAGAAGCACCTCAGTGCTGCTGAGGGGTGGATACCCCAGGCTTTGCCCTCCTCCATATCCCAGCTCTGCTGCCGGGAGAGGGAGCTGAGCTGGTTTAGCCTCATCCAAACCCAAGGATGGGGCAGTTCTTGGGGAAGGAGGAGTGTTGGGTTGTCCCTGGTCTCCAATCCCAGTGGGATGCTCCCCAGAGCAGCCTCCCCTGCAGCCCCACGGCGTCACTGAACGCTCAATAACTGCCTTCAGCAGCCTGCTGATATTGGAGGACTGAGTAGATATTTAACCTGAAACCAGAGTTCAACTACATCAGACTGTTCATTAAAAATGAATGGGTGCATCTGATCAGGATCGTATTCCCTGCCATGTGATGCAGGAGCAGGAACAGGGCTGCTGGTTTCTGCCCTCTCTTCTCTCCGTACAGTCACTCATGTTTTTGTGTACTGCAAATACACTTGGTTTGCTTTTTTATCCAAATTCCCTCCTCCTTGATCCCTCTTCAAACAGAAAGTCTGAAGACTTCCAATCAGCAAAGGAAGCAGCTCAGTGAGAGCAGCTCTGCAGAGCCCCAGCTGATACCAGTCACACACTGGTCTGAGGCTGGACCTCCCTGCTCCTGCAGCCAGGGGAAATCCCCCTTCCCAGCTGCTTTTGGTGCACTGTACCCCTCAGGCCCACTTATCCTTTCCCTCTTGTCCACCTTTCATCCCACTGGACAGTTCAGTTCTGAGCCCTGGGCTGGGCCTCGTGTCCTTTCCTGCTGTGGCCCCACGACAGGTTCAGGTGCTGTCAGCCTGTCACTGGCCCTTGTTAACAAGGTCCTTCCCAGCCCCGGGCAGAGTCATTGGCTGAGGAAACACTGCTCTGCTGTGACTAAAATACAAAAGATGGGCTTCTGCAGAGCAACATCTTTGCAGCAGTTCATTATCCCTGTCCTGGCTTTGTCTGCAAGAGCCAAGTGATGGGCAGATGTAGAAGATACCCAGTTCCAGCAGCATTTCCTCACAGAGATTTACAGCTCAGCTGTCAGTGTCCCATCTTGCTGAACTGTTTGCAAGATCACTGTTAATATCATTTTGTAGGTGCTCTGGCCAATCAGAACAGTACAAGGTTCAGCATTTTGGTACTGGAGTGACAGTAAAGGAAAAGAAATATTTTTCCAGATGTGAAAACTGTTTGAATCTCAGACTTCTATGTTTTTGTAATACAAATTTCTCAGAGACTAAAAATTCCCAGTCCTACCAGGCCTATTCCTGGTTGTCACCAGTCTGCAACCACATTCCAAACAACACTTTGTCCTTGGTTTCCTCACATTGCTCAGGTGGGAAACAGTGT